GTAGAAAGATGTTCGGAAAAAAAAGGCTTGCTTGACAGGTCATCGTTTACAATTTTTAACAATCACTACTGTCAGGATGCAAAAGCGTGACTCTGAAAACAAGAGGATGACATTTGTGAGTAATATGTTGATCTCAAGGAAAGTTACACTTTCGAGAATTCACTTCAAAATAACATTCTTCTAATTGTCCTTGCAACCTGGAAGAAGCCTCACAACATGCTACCCTTAGGGACAAGTTACTGTAAAAATACCTGTGCAGTAAACAGACTTGTTAAAAAGAATCAAATTTTAATGCAGCAAGGTCACCCTTTTGACAGGTCTGTACTCCATAATTGTGTCCAGAGAATGATCTGTAAAGGCAATTGCACATTTCTTTGCTATCTTACTGTATACTTATCATAGTTTCCCTGATAAGTAATCCAATTGCCCACATTCTTGTTTGAGCTGTAGCTCAGCATTGCATTCATTGAATTAGTGCTGTAGGAAAGCACCAAAGCAGGTATGCCCATCCACAGTAAATTCTTTGCTGTAAAGAAAAAAAAAAAAGGCTTTTGCAACCTCTTCTGCCTTCCTTCTTATCACCTGAATGGACAGTATATCCGTGAGCACATTTGTGCAGGTCACACGAGGTTCAGGACTGCCAAGATGGTATGGGGAACAAATTCTTCACAGTTTGATCGAACTTTATTCTATGAGCCATGCTGCTGCAGTGGTGAAGCTATTCCAGGGAGCAGAATGCTCTGCAAAGTGCTATGCAACGTGAGTTGTATGGTTTCTTTTCACCCTTAAGGTCAGGCACCTTACTTTTAGTGCTCTTAACCCATACAGTTAGCAGGAAGAGAGGCAGAGAGGAATGTAGGTTTAGTTTCCCGTTTGTGTGCTAAGAACTCTCCCATTTAATCTGCTGTATCGTCAGCTGTGTGGGGTTTCCTCTTCATATTCTAACTCAGGTGCTTATTATATTTACCTTGCAGCAAAAATAGTTTCCTTCTAATTAATTTTTACTTCCTATTTCAGACTGCTTCATTGTATATTCTTAACCAACTTCCTCATCCAGCATAAGGTGGTTGCATTTTATAATGTGTCATTCCTCTGGTGAGCAAAATTATTCCTCCACATATTATAGCTAGCAAACCACTTGGATACAACCAGAGGAACAGAGCTATAAAAATAAGACGTTTCCTCTCTCTTTTTTTTTTTTTTTCAAAGCTAATATTGGGGAAGCATTCAGAAATAGGTACGGGCACATATATGAAGCAGAACATCATAGGCTTTCTTCAGGCGGTTCCAAAACCCTTTTCTGAACAGAGACATTAAAGGGATGTGAACAGCATGAATATATAAAAGATAATTGCTTTAAAATTATATACAAAGCAAATACAAAGAAATAGTAACTGCCTTTATTTAAAATATTTTCGTCAAAAAGATCTTCTTTTGGGGAGATATATTTAATTGTCATGGCTGCAACAGATACGCAATGAAACACACCTGGATACAAAGGTTTTTGTAAATTTGTTTACTTTTGTGTATTCAGCATATAAGACCAATTAATAAGGAGTAAGTGCTTAAGCTCTTACTTAAGATCTTAAGATCGAAGGATTCTGGGTGGAGAAGGAACATAAGCCACACATATACATCACAGACTACTAGAAAGTTTATTACAAGATCTAAACCAGATGTAAAATCCAGAGATATCCCAAGCCAGAAAGAGAGAGAACTAAAGGCTATCAAAGGTAGATTAGTCACAGATCTTTACCAACCTACACATTTGTTCAATGACCAGGAGGCCAGCTCCGAGGTGCACTGAGAGCAAACGGGGTGGCAGGCACATACTTTGCGGGTGTCCCCACGGAGGTAATGTCGGCCATAAAAGGTCCATCTCCCTCTTCTCTTCTCCTCTGTCTTCCTGCTCTCTTCTCTAGATCTTTCTTGAACCCCGGGCCTTTTATAACCCGAAAGTGCCAACTTATCCCTACGCAGGGGTCAGCCTGCGTCCTGAAGAGTGGCCCTGCTGGCTCCCTTTTCCTGTGCACATTCGTCCTGACGCAGGGGGTCAGACTGTGCCAGGAGTAGTGGCCTTGCTGGCTCCCCGCCGTGCACCCCCACTCCAGGTGATCGGGGATGGTCCACCATGGACCAATTTTTACAATGTTAGACCCATCCAACACAGCTCGTTTTGTCTCCATTTTGAGGTACAAAATACACTGAGCATTGATTAAATCCTGGAAGGGTTTAACTGTGGTATGTAAAATACAGTTTTGTTGTTTCAATACAATTTGGTTACTTTGGAGGCTTTCAGACCATAAATAATGATTAGATCATTTAGTCTTTGGGTAAAGGATAGCACCATCTTTCTCCCAGCTGGAGACCTGTTTCTCAGAACTAGACTGTCGCAAAGATAGCAAATGGAGGAGTCTGCTCTCAGCTGCGGAAAAGACAAGAGTTATCAAATTACACCACCAGTGAGCGTATCAACAAATACCTTGTACAACTGGCAGTTGGAATAAATCCAGAAAAATAAATAGCCATCTTTCATTCTTTTCTTATGAAAATGAGAAATTTGGAGCCATGTCAGCACTACCAACAAACTAGCAAGCCAGCTCTAGGTCTTCATGGTGTGGTCTAACATACTATACTGCAACCTAAAAATGAAGCGTTTTGCTCCTTTCCCCATTTGCAAAATCTGGAATAGAAATGTATCTCAGCAGTTTAATGATGCTTCCGTGGCACCTGTATAAGAAGCCATCACACCTTATATCTGAGTAACCTCCTGTGTGTACTCAGTTACATGAACATTCACCTTGATGAAAGAGGTCCTAGGTGCTTCTGTGCTGGCAACAGAATGACTGTGATAAGTCACAATTACATGGGCTCAGGGAAGTGGAATAAAGAGACACCAGGATATCTGCATGCCTCTATTGACAGGAGCTACAGTCTGAGAAAGTCTTAGCAAATCTAGTTAGCCTCACAGATTCTGCAGTCCCAGTCTCTCCTTTCATGACTATATGAAAGCCCACATGGTACAAAACAGATTTGTTCGGAGAAGTTTATCTTAAGTCTACCCTGAATGAAATCAAGCTAAGCTATGTATTCATCTGCTCTGTTCAGCCTCCTGCCCTTAATAATGCTGACCTTTTCAGGCTATGGCAAAAGACTGTGCATTTACTGTTGAGTTTGAAGGTTCTTTCAACTTTAACAGGTTAGAGTTGAAATTCAACATCAAAATGAAGGTGCTATCTGGAATTTTATAGCCATTGATGTGCAAATGATGAATGGAACTATTGCACATTCAGGATACTCTCCATAGCCTTGCAGTATATCATCCAAGTAATTCGGCTCATTATTAGTATCAGAAAAAGAGATGGCATTTTAGCTTGCTCCAAGCCAGCAAACCCAAACATCACAGCCAGGAGAGCAAGCTTCCAAGTGACTGGCACAAATGTCTCTCTAAACAGTGCTGCTTCCAGATCAGCAGTAACTACATAGCTTTTCTCAAGTGGTGTGCAAAACTGTTTGGAAAGAATGAGTTATCTAGTGCTCAAACAAGATTTCTCTTAGCCAGTTGCTATTATACCAAGAAGTTGCAAATTTCACTTTTACATATCAGTTTGTGCCAGATCTGCCATATCCAAAAGTTTTCACAGTACCTGTCAGCTGGAACTTGTTTTAGTCTGGCATGGCTATGGATCAGATGCTAAAGTCTGCTTGGTAGAAAACCTCCCAGTCCTTCCTCCAGGATTACTCAGTCAGGACTAATTAGGAGTAAAAGACTTTGGATCTGGGTATCTGAAGAGAGAGTACTATCACACTCTTCTAGGTGAAAAGTACCAGCACGATGGAAGATCAAAAGACTGGGCTACCACTGGAAGTGGCAGGCAATTAGAAAAAGGTGCTACTCATATCTTTGAGATAGGGAAAAGTGGATCCAGTAACTGCAGACCAACAAGACTCATCTCATTGCCTGGAAGGATCATGAAGCACATTTTCTTGTTTGGTGGTGCTTAGCCATCCGCAAATACATGAAGGACAAGAAAATATATGGGATGGTCATCACATATTTACTAACTGCAAATCATGTTTCAACAGTCTGATTGCCTGTTATGATGGTCATGGTCAAGGGAAGGGTGGTCAAGGGAAAGGTGATGAATGTAGTTTACCTTGACATTAGGAAGTTCTAGTCTCTGTAACATTCCCACTGGTCGACAGAGGAATCACGTGCTGCACAAAAAGACTGTTATATGGGTTAGGTTGACAGACTCGAAGGGTGGGTAGTCAACGGCTTGATGTCTGTTTGGCAGAATTTCTAAGGTGAGTACTGGGGGCAATGTTAGTTGGTGTCTTCACAAATAACCTGAATGATGAGACAGTGTACCCTCAGCAAATCTGTGGATGATACTAAAATGGAAAAAGTGGCTGACACATCAAATAGTATAGTGTCAGTCTAGATAAGTTCTACAACTGGGCAAAATAAATCTCATGAAGTTCAAACAAGATTGTATGCCTAGGTGAATAACCCCATGTACAAGTAAAGATGCTATACTGGCTAGCTGGTGTGCTGTAAAGGACCTGCAAAGGTCACAGTGGATACCAGGTGAACAGGATAAAGTGGTGGCTAGGAAAAAATTCTTTACAATGAGGGTGGTGAGACACTGGAACAGGGTGCCCAGAGAAGCTGTGGCTGCCCCATCCCTGGTAGTGTTCAAGGCCAGGCTGGATGGGGCTTTGAGTAACCTGGTCTAGTGGAAGGTGTCCCTGCTCATGGCAAGAGGTTGGGACTAGATGATCTCTAAGGTCCCTTCCGAGCCTAATCATTCTATGGTTCTGTGGTTCTATAAATCACCAGGAAGGCAAACTGGATTGAGCTATGCCAGAATGAGAGTGAGCCTATAAAATGAAGTTATGCTTTTTATGATGCTGGTGCTGCATACACCTGTAATTCTGCATCCAGTTTGGGCTCCACAGTTCAAAAAGGAGAACAAAAGCTGGAGTCGGTTTACCAGATGACTAGCAAGACTGTCATGGGCCAAAATTATGTGACCTTTGAGAAGAGGCTGAGGAACCTAGGCTTGTTTAGTCTGGCAAAGCAGCAGCTAAGTGGTGATCTAATAGCTGCCCACAGCAGCTTGAATGGGAATTGCACAGATGGCAGAACCAAATTCCTCCTGGTACTGATAGATGGTACAATAAGAGACAACAACCCCAAGATGCAGCTTGGAAGTTTAAGTTTGAACCTTAGTAAAAAGTTATTCACCAGAAGGGTAGTATGTCAGTAGAGTAGCTTACCCACAGGTGTAACCAGGGAAATTGCCCTTTTGGAGTCTTCGACTTGATTAGAAAAAGTGGTAGCTGACCTGGTACAGCCTTTGCAACATTTCTGTATCCAACCAGTGTTTCCAACCAACCTTCTTCAAATCAGAAAGTTAAAGGGAAATTGGAAGAAAGAAAGATGATGTACCAAATTCATGGGCTTATCTTGTATTTACTCTTCAGACTGATTTTGCGTTTATGGTGTCTTATATAGAGGCAGTGAAAGTAAAAATAATGGCAATGCACTGGAGAGGACTTTTTTGTCAGTTGTTGCGGAAAACAAATAACAACTGAATAATCATAGGCCACTAAGTTGCCTTTGTGTGTTTACTGTTGAGCTTAAGACTTAAACTAGACAGAAGCATTTCAGTCACCAAAAGATTAAGCTGAGGTGTTCCAGAAGAAATGCATGCTCAAGGCCTCAAGAAAGGAATGGAAAGTACCCTTGCTAATTTTACCTGGGAAGATAATCCCATCTTGCAGTAAAGGACATAAAGTGATGGAAGTCTTTTGTACAATGAGAACCATGGATGTTGCATAAATGAAGGTTTTTCTGTGCATATTGGGCAAAGCTCTGCTGCCAAAGGGGAAAAAAAAAAAAAGAGAAGAATATTCTTGAGCTGACCTCATTATTGTTGCATGTCAAAACAGCCATTTGACTGCTTTAATTCTCACCAGCAGAATAGTCACTTGCAGATTAATTTACTGACCTAAAATCACAGACTGCTATGGGTTTAGCCATGTTGCTTCCTCCCATATGCTTGGGCTGAGGTAACAGGAGAGGCCAACACACTTTTTCTCGTACTGTAAGTTTTTCTTGAGCTATTGTTATATGGCTCATGTTAGGAATGGCAGAACAGCTCAGATTACATACTTCTCAGTCGATTAAAATTAAAAAGAAACATATAGATCAGATTGTTTATCAGGGCATTTAGCAGGCTCTGTTGCTGTTCTTAACTGATAATTTACAAGTCAGTGATACTATAACAGAGGTTGTTAGTATTTTGGAGCAAAAATTTGAGGTGCTACAGGGGTGCAGAGTAAGACGTGTTACAGACACAGGTTTGGAATGGACTTGCCTGGATGTCCAGAAGAGGGGCCCAACAAAAGCCTTTATTTTCTTTGTATTTTCCTTCCTCTTCCACAGTCCATGCTGCAGTCAAGAAAGTCCTGAAGACCAGCTCCATCTTTCACATCATCTTTTAAGTCTCTCTTAACACCTTCTCAATAACCTTGGAGGAACATTGCTTGTCACATAGCACATGTTGCCACAGGGTACCAGTGCGATAATGAAATATTCCCTGTGTGCATCCCAACAAGAGAGAAAACTTGCAGTTCTGCTTTTTACTACTATGATTACTTTTTTTTCTGACAAAGATAAAACCTTGATTTCCAATATACTTCTGGGCACTAAATTAAGTAACTGGGTACTCTGCTTGTGTAGATCTTTAATTACTATGACCAGGCAATTGTATCTCTGTTATTCTTTTAGAATAACTTCTCCAGACTTTAAATGAAGACAGAGGAGACCCACACAAAACAATTACAGCAGAGAATTTGTTTACAGGCTATTGCTAGATGAGATGTAATGCTTCCCTTTATCATCACTTATCATAGCAGTGACAGCCTGTAAACCTCCTGCCCATGCATTATTCTTTATTTGTCACCGCCTGTGCCAACTTTTGCCCTGGCAGGTGCCTGGCATGTGTCAAACATATGATTCATGGGTTCATTTGATCAACACTGTGAAGAAAAGAGTGATGTATTTTCTTTTAAATTACAAATTAGACATTTACACCCCACATCTAGTGACAAGGGCTTTGGCTTCTTTATTTGAAGCGCACCATTTATAGCTCACTGTAGAATTTAAATACTGGCTTCTCTATCATGCCTAATTCTGAAAGTTAAATTTATGCAATATTATAGCATATAAATGAAACCATCCTGCCTCTCTGTTTTATTGTCATGGTAAGCTTGCTTGAACTGTTTCCTTTGGCAATAAATGGGCAGAATGTGTTATCCTCTGGACATTTAAAGGCCTTTTTATTGCAGGTTGCTTTCTATTTTACACACAACATATACTTTCTTTCAGAGAATTTCTTTAGAATTATAGTTTTGCTCCGACATTGATGCATGTTTACTTGGACACTTGCTTCTAAATCATGGAATCATAGAATAAATGCATATGTGTAATATACAGGTTTTGTGAGATGCTTTTTTGGAGATAATATTAGCAATAAAATAATTAGAAACTGTAAGAAAATGCAGTTGTACAATAGGAAATAAAATATCATTTGGAGTTTTCTTCTGTGAAAGAAATTTATGCAGTTCTGTGAAAAGTTTGTTAGTAATAACAAGCGCCTAGATCATTTGTTAATCAAACTTATTCCCAGACAGAGAATTCTAAAGTCTTGTCTAGTCTGTTTTAAGCAACACTGGAGCTGTGAAATTCACGGGTATTGCCTTTGTCAGAGCATCTGAAACACGGACTCTTTTATGAAGTATCTAGCCTTTAAAGCCAGCTGCTGACCACAGGTCCTGCAGAATTGCCATTTCGCTTTAAAGTTTCACCTATGATGATATCAGCATATTAAGTAATGCAAGAGTGGCTTTAATGAGTGGTTTAAGATGAAAGATGTTTTTGCTACTTATATAAATAGTAGAAAATACTACAGTTTTCTTTTAAAATACCACTGTTCTACCATCTCTGGCTTTTACTCTGTGTTTGTTTATGCTTTTAGAGATTGACAAGATTTGAAACAGACAGTGACACAAGATATTGCAGGGGAAATACAGTATGAGAGCACTTTCATATTGATTTAAGTTAAGAAAACCATTACTTACGGATCCAAAAGGGATTTTTTTTCCTCCAAGATATTTTCATTCTCACAACCACATCAGAGACGGTGGTTGGACTTAAATACTCCATGATTGTTTTGTAGTTACTGAGAATTTTTTCCGGATAAATTCCCAAACTGTTGTCTTGGCTAAATCTCAAAACTAAAGATAGAGTAGGTACTGTTACTGGCATCTGTTTGACTATGTCATGACTTCCTATTAGGATACTACTAACATGTAGTTCAATAAATTTGGATACCTTATGTATCTCTAGCAATCGATATACTTTGATTTCTACATAGACTTCATCTTTCTATGTCACTTGTCTAATTAAGCTCTATAAAAATAAATACTTATTACTTTTGTTTTCTTCCTGATTACTTCCAGATATGTCTAAGTGAGGCTGCATTTAGAATTCTGTGTGAACAAGACATGCAAATTTTGTTTGTATTCTTCTGCTTTTTTGTAAGTTGTTCTTTAAGTGACAAGGAGAAAATAATAAAATTATTCAACCAGGGGACTAGTTGAGTAGATGAAAACAATTTTCAGATGTGTGATTCTGGCCTTAGAAGATGTGCTGGATGTTTTAATGCAGTTCTTCATGAGTCAAATGACATGCTGTCTGAAATGTGTGAAGAGCTATCTGAGAGAGAGGGAGGAAGGTACTGCAGAGCACTCTTGTTTGTTCCACAGAATTTCAGATATTATTCTTGAAAAAAAACCAAAAAAAATTAAAATTTGAGAAACCTCTTTTCCTGTGTTTGCAATAATCCTGAAGCAATGTAAGAACAGTATGAACTGCCATTGATTTCATGGAGTTCAAGCCCCAACAGCTGATGACAGTCAAATTATTTTATTCAACTCTTTTTCTGTTTAGAAATTGATAGAATAAGAGAAAAGAATGTGTCATAATATGAGAGTTTACATCGTCTCTCACTGATGTGTTTTCCTGAAGGTATAGGCACTCAGGTTTCAGAATTTGCTCATTGCAAGATGGGAAAGGAATAAAATTGTCCTTTGTATGAGACTGAACTTCACTGAGTTTATTTAGCCCAAAACAAGTGATAGCAATCGGAATGCATGAAAAGATTGTGTTTGTATTAGTTCATGTAAAAATCAGTAGTGGCTGTATTCAAACTGTCTATTGCAAGGGCCTTTCCTTCAACATTGTGATACCTATCTAGTGAAGGTCCAGTTCAGATGTGCCTGGAATCTCTATACAGGCAACAAAGAGCCTACAAACACCATGAACCACTTAGGCTGTCCAAGTAAGGCTTTTGTTTCTCTCCTGTCAGAGTGTTTATGTGCTTCCTTGGTAGCTGCATTCACATACAAAGGGGGACCTGCCTAGAACCAGCTCACAGAGAACAGCAAATTGTATCTGATACGTAGCCAAATTCAGAGCTATGTAGTAGGATTCTCTGATCAGCGAGAGTCTTAACAGTGAACCCATCTTTAAAGGCTGGCAGGTGAAGATGGAGGATTTGCACTGTAGCCACAGTGTTAAGTGCTTGCTCCCATAGTTGGAGAGCTGTGTTCAGGCTGAGTAACCTTAATCTCTTTATTAGTTGTCTGTACAGTGTGCAGCAATGTGGTCTTGCTCTTGGCATAGGGTTCCTATTTTATGCTATTCAGTGCAAACAATCTTAAGACTTGTGGGTGAAAGAGGTCAGAGGAGAAGGGCTAGATGACATTAAACAGCTACAGGAAATTTCCACTGTCTGAGGACTAACAGAAGCTATGGTCCTAGCAGGTTACATTTGATTTACTTTGGAAATATGTAATATACTGTCACTTTGAAACAGTTTCATTTTTCATGGCTATAAGATGATACAATTTACAATATAGAAAAAAATCCAGACTGACAGCCCTATCAGACTTCGTTATATTACCCGCAAAGTCTTTTCTCTTTGTTTTCAACATCTATTGACCTTCTTCTATATTCCTGCACAGTGGGAGTAGCCTCCATGGAGCTCATAAAAACAGGAAAACAGTTTGATAAATATATGCTTTAGACAGTCTTGTGTGTGGGCACAAAAAGACTTGATTTAACCTCAGTTCAGTCATGATACTGATTTGTAGCTAAAATGAGTCAGAGTGGCATACAGCCCTTGTCCCCTGAATGCAGTTGGTCGTACAAGACCGCCATACAAAGGCACAGTACATCTCTCGTCATTGTGACTGTTTGGGGATTATGCTGCTTTTTTATTGAGTACGTAAAGTAGCAAAATGGGATGAAAAAAAGGATACGTCTTTTCCACATATTTCGGAATTTAAATGTGTATTCTACAATCAACTCCAGAGTAGAGGACAAAATCATTTAATGTTTAACTGAATGTCATTATTTTTGTTGTCTAAGACTTGGCTTTGATCTAATATTTCTCCCAGGTATTACTATGGACACAAACCACTCTCTTGACTCAGCAGGTCTCCAAAGCGTTAAGTTTCTTCTCCCAAAACCCCCACCTGTACTGTAATCCTTGCAGGCTAATATTCCCAGGTCTCAGGCTGCTCCCTCTTCTGTGACAGTGTACATCAGGATTCCTCAGTACACAATACCATGCAGTACTCTCCCACTAAATGCATGTAACTACACACCACTGTTTCTACTCCTTCCTTATTTGCAGGTAGATTGGAGGAGTCTTGTGTGCTGATCAGCTGGGAAGGAAAGGAGCAGAGACAAGAAGGAGCATGTGCAGGGAGCTCTGTTTCAGTGGAGCTTGATTTTATTTTAACACGAGATCCTGTATTCTCTGTGTTGTGGCTTGTTTGCTTGTTGCCTTTAATCTATGTGTCAGCATTATATGCTCCACTGTACCGCTAAATGGTAGTCCTTTCAGGTAGTCTGTAGTAAACTTCTTGCAATCTAAAATGATGTAAAGTCTGGATCGAGGCCTGTGCTGACCATACAAGTCCAAAGAATTAGTAGCTGATATAAGAAGCAGTCATAACCTGGCAAACGTATTTCAGTGAGACTTAGTTTGCAACCCTTAGCATCACTAGATGTGGGTATCATGAATTTTAATTATTGGACTCTAAGCTTTTTTCTCTCTTTCCCTGCCAAATGAAATTATCAGATTTTTTCCAAAGTAATGAGTCTGACAAGCTGAGGTGTTGTATCAAAGATGAAAGATCAGGATTTCTGTTGTAGGTGTATTTAGGAAGAGGCAAAACTGTAGGGTGTTTTTTATCATTGGGGGTTTTTTTATGATTCTTTGTGTGTGTTTCTAGTCAGAAGAAAAATGTTTCCAAAGATGCTGTTTTGTTATACAAACAGACTCAGATTATGCAAATAAGAGAACCTATCAATTGCTTTACATTTGCAGCTTAATTTTATTAGGAAGTCAGCTGTCCATTTGCTTCATGCTGGCACCCAACTATTAAGATCTTCCTTCAGGTCTGTTTCCCTTCCCATTACAAAAACAATCTAATCATGCTAGTTTAATACTTACTTTTTAAAAAATTTCTTTCCATGCATAGTTCTTCATAATTAGTTGATATAGGAAACCTACTTGGAAAGGACACTGTTTATAAAACAGCGTGCCAGAATGTTTATCTGGCCTTGGGCTGCAGGAATCAGAGGATGGATGAATATCCTGCAGTTGTTTTGGCCGTGATTACATCGTGGATGGCAGGTTGCCAGTAGCAACTGCAGTAAAAGGTCCAGAGTGTCAGTGTCTTCCTCTGTGTGATAAAACAGAGACCATTTACACTTTCCAAACTGACTCAGGAAGGATTTGTGGCAGATTTTGGAGGACTTGAAGTGACAAAAGATGGAAGTAGATAAGCTGCTTGCAGGTTGTGTGCCAACCTGTCCTTCTGTTGTCTCCTCCAGGCCTGGCACCACTGACGCTTTTTTTGCCCTTCTTTCTAGAACATTTAAAAGAGAAGCTGGAGGAATACATGATCCGTTTTGCCAAAGTGAGGATTGTACGTACCAAGAAACGAGAAGGGCTCATTCGGACCAGACTGCTAGGAGCCTCGCTGGCTAGAGGAGAAGTCTTGACATTTCTGGATTCCCATTGCGAAGTCAACGTGAATTGGCTGCCTCCCTTGCTTAGTAAGTGTATGGGCATTCATCAGCCATTAAAATTAGAGCATACAGTATAGCTTAAGCATTCAAAGCTATGTCCCACAATAAGCAGGATGTAAACTGTACAGAAGTGTTTGGAGCTCTGCTGCAGTTTCTGAGGACTCAGTATGAGACAGAACTCAAAAGAAGTGTGACCAGCTCCATTTTATGGTTCTTGTGACTAAAAAGCTGGTAACATTTTGAAGTACCACTTTGGCCTATTACAGTTACAATTTATTTTGTTATTACTGCTACAAATTACACTACTAAGTCTAGTAGTATGGTATGCTCTTACTATACACCTTGCTATGCAGGTATTGTACTCCTTCCTAGTCCTCCACATTCCATTAAAACAGCTTTTGCTGTAAATGTATCCAAGACCTCAGAGTTAAATCCAATAACAACTGCATTCACAATAGGAAGCTCAGAAAGAATGATTTGCTATTGACTGCTTTGCTGGATTCCAGCTGCAGCTGGCAAAGCTCCATTAGTCAAAGGAATGGAAAGAATCAATTGTTGAAGTCTAGGATTTCACTTCAGGAAACAATGTCCTATTTTCTACACACCTGAGTGCATGCAAAGTGTCTGTGCTTTGCAAAGTGAGTGCTTTTTAGCAAAAACAAGGAAAAATTCTGAGTTTACTATGGAAGAAATCTGTATTAATTAGAAGAGTATGTCATAAGTACAGGACAGGATAGGGTTTCACCAATTAATGGTTATTTTTCTTGAATTTTGTTGCTAGAACTGTTTGGCCATATAATAAGCTGATAAAGCATTTATTTGCAGTCAAGAAGAAATAATGTTCTGCTAATGAACTATCACTTGAGACCAAGTAAAAACCCAACCAAAAACAAAAAAAAAAAAAAAACACCCACCCAACACAACCCTAGTAACTAGTTTTTCATCTTCAGATCAGTAACAAAATAATGTACAAAATTCCAAATTTATATCCTTTCTAGCTTCTTTATTAGATTACACATACGGTCTTACCTCTTGTTTCCACTTCAGCCTTAAACACATCACCAGCATTTTTTAAGAAACCCTCCGTCTTTATGTAGAGCCTAAATGGCATAAAGGAGCAGAGAGAAACACAAGTTTCAACAAGCCTCCCACAAACATCCACAAACAAGTATCACTCTGGAACACTCTGCATATACAGCCACCTTTCCTCTGCTTTTTAATTTTGCCCCACTGTGCATAATATATTGCTACTAATGAAAAAAATCTCCAGAGGACTTTCACTCTTGTCCCCTGAATCTTTTGCTGCGTTACTGCAGATGAGATGTAGACATTCTATTTTTCTAACTTAGACATGGAAAAATTGCAAGTTGCAAAGCCAGTTCCTTTTCTTGATTTCTTGTCTGAAATGAAGGTACGTCTACCTGGGTTTCACACTATAAAAACTGAAAAATAAATAGAGTGGTCACAAAGGATTCATTATTGCAGTTAGGTTGCAGTTGGGTATTGAACTGATGATTGCAACCCTCAGCCTTAAGCCAGAGAAGTGGAAAGATGAGAGGCTTCATCAGGGACCAAGTCCCAGTTCTGCTTAGTTCTCATATTCCACATATCTTTCTTATTTCACCTATAGTAGAAATACCCATAGCTAACCAGCCGAGGATCTAGAAATTAATCTTTAGGAATAGTGGAACCCAGAATCAAGAGGCCTCATTTTGAAAGAAAAAATGGAGTGTTACATGAAGAAGGACAACTAGAGAATGAACACACAGCTTTTAAGGATGCCCTGTGCCTTTTTTTTTCCTACAGGGATGAGAAAACTTTCTCATATCCAATAGGTGGCAAATATTTACTATACTGAAATCAGATAACACCCAGCTACTAATAATAGTAAAGTTAATGAATTTTTGCAAGTGTTTACCTAAAGATCTATCTTGTGATTCACTCAGCACTGCATGTGACTGAATGTCATTCAAGGAAACCACAACGGAGGATATATTGTGTATTTATTGCTTTGAAGCTGTCCTATTTTAGCTCTAATTTATCTGTCATGTGTAGTGAGAAGTCCTCAACAGGATTGCAGTTCAACCCTGCTCTGGAGTTGCTTCTGAAGAGGTGCAGTGGTTTCCACTGTTCCAAACCGGGTTTTGTTCAAAATGAGACCTTGAAAGTTAGAGGACAAGGAGGTGCTGAGAAAACCAAGAGCGATCACACAAAGACAGTTCTCAAAGTTATTTAGTTACCTAACATATTTTCAGAATTGGCTGTCAGGAAGACAGTTATTTTAGTACTTGTTAGGTATCTAAATAGCTTTGTGGTGCTGAGCCACAGCTGTTTTCAGTTATAGTCCTTTGTTTCATTTTCTTAAAAACAGGTGCAAAATGTTTTTTCTTTACTTTCTTTAGGCTTTATTTGGTTTATTTCTTTAGCTTAAATGGGCTTCTAAACTGAGAAAAGCGACTCTCAGATCTCAGAGTTTTGCCTGGTATTCACTGAGCAGGTAGCTGTAGTCATGTGAAAATGTTGGCAAACACAGCTGTTTGTTATCACTCCTCAATAGTATATAGTCAGCAGAAGGAAACATGTGACTTGGGCTCCAGCTACTGTGGTTGAGAATCTAGTGTAGTGTGAAATCACTGTTACTGGAGGTAAGAAACTGAGTGGCAAACCAGCGGAAAGATGAGGATATATCTTTCCTTCTGCTGATGTTGCTGAGGGAGCAGTAAGAGGGGAGATGGACAATAGATTAGTACTGCCACATGCTACCAAAGCTAGGTTTGTTAAAAGAGATATTTTTGCTGACCAAGACTTAAAACTATATCATGATTAAGTCATGCTTAGCAAGTTATCAAGACACCTGCTAGTTATAGCTGACCATCTCTACAACATTTATATGATGCATCACTTGCCAGTGGGGATATTGAGAGTACAAGTATTTATGACAACTCAGATAACAAGAGATAATTTGCTGAGCCGTTCAAATGTTGTCACCATCTGTAACCACATATTCAATTAGGAAAATAAGAGTGTTTGCAATGTGGCATTGTTGCTTTAACCAGGCCAATTTGAAACAAGCATTGAAATTAAAGGGGTGCATCTTTCTCATAAAGATAAAACCTATGTTTTTGAGATAGTGACTTATTCAATATTGAAAACTTCTATTTTTTGCCACATATGCACTCTCTGCTTGATACTACAAGTGCTGAATTCAAATATGTATGTATATATTGCTTAAAACTGCTAGGGAGAAAGCTCTCTGCAATGTTCCCTCTTGTTCCTAGGCTTTCCCTCAAATCTGAAGGATTTTTACATGTATGATGATGCTTATCTGTCTGTTCTTCCCTTTAACTGTAGCATATATGCATTGAAATAATGCACAGAAATTTTCAGAACATAGGAATTCAGGACATAGGAATGTGTGAGAGGAAGCCAACCGTATCCTGGGCTGTATCAAAAGAAGCGTGACCAGCAGGTCAGAGGAGGTGATCCTGCCCCTCTACTCTGCTCTTGTGAGACCTCACTTGGAGTACTGTGTACAGTACTGGTGTCCTCAACATAAAAAGGACATGGAGCTGCTGGAGCAAGTCCAGAGGAGGGCCACGAGGATGATAAGAGGACTGGAGCACCTCCCATATGAAGATAGGCTGAGAAAGTTGGGGCTGTTCAGCCTGGAGAAGAGAAGGCTACATGGATACCTCATAGCAGCCTTCTAGTATCTGAAGGGGGCCTAGAAGGATGTTGGGGAGGGACTCTTCATTAGGGACTGTAGTGGTAGGACAAGGGGTAATGGCTTTAAACTTAAACAGGGGAAGTTTAGATTAGATATAAGGAAGTTCTTCACAGTGAGGGTGGTGAGGCACTGGAATGGGTTGCCCAAGGAAGTTGTGAATGCTCCATCCCTGGCAGTGTTCAAGGCCAGGCTGGACGACATAGCTTAGTGTGTGGTGTCCCTGCTCATGGCAGGGGGTTTGGAACTAGATGATCTTAAGGTCCTTTCCAACCCTAACTATTCTATGATTCTGTGATTCTATGATGATGAGTAAAGGCAGTGGAAAAGAAATACTGTGAAGTATTTCAGCTGTGGCTTTCAGTTTCTTGGAGAGGAGCAGGTAGGATAAAGAGCAGTGCCTGGCAAAGGCAGCAGCATGTTCACATCTGTAAAGCTATGGTACCAGCACTCTTGTGAAATGTAAGGTAGCCCTACAGCCCTTTTTTCTCTTTTCTAAATTCGTATTGGGCCTACATTTAAGCCTAAGAAGTATGTATGCAAAATCAATTATTTTAGGCATGCTGAGAGACACATTAAGGCTGCAAGTTTGATTTGCTGCTTTTGGTGTGCACAACTGCAAACACCCTGGTGTCTTCAAAAGTCAAGATATTTCTGTGGTTCCTCATCTTCTCTAAAACATTTTGTGAGCTGAGAAGTAAATTCTGCAGAAACACATAAGAACAGGCAGGTAAGCATCATATTGCTTGCAAAATTCTTGCAGAGTTGTATAAATGAAGACTGGGATTGAGTTTAGTCATTCCTCAAATAATTTTCTCCCTGACTATTTCTGTGTATGACTTAGAGAATTCCAATTCCTCAGTCTATTTAAAAGCTATAGCTTTTAAAGATCAAGAGAATGATGCTAATATATTATGAGTCTACCTTTGACCTGCTCCAGCCAAATCAATTCCATTTAGTTTCTCTCCTCCAATCAATTTAGAAAGGAGGGATCAGAGACCGATTATTATAACTATTAGCAGGACCATCACAGGAAAGAGGTTATGTAAAAATGACTTTACATAATGATTACAGATAACACAACATAGTATACCAGTGAATGAAATTATATTTGGCAATAGCAACAGTAATGCAGCCATTGTGTCTGAAATGAGTTGCCTAGAATTTTGTGAGAGCCTCTGCTTTAAATTTCTTTCACTATTAAAGGATAAGAATGTAAAAACCTGCTGAACTTCCAAGCACAGTAATTTCTCAGTAGTAGTCAGCATTGTTCCCCCATTTGGACAGTCTATAAACAGTAACTGAGAGTAAATATGAAAACTACAGATGTTTCACTAAAATAATCTTTTTTCTTAATTTTAATCCTTCAGAAGCACAGAAGCAGAGTCTGTATTACTAATATTTACACCACGATTACCTGCCTTCCTATCTAAGTGTTCGTTCCACACTCAGCCCTCTGATTTTTTTAGGGTATTATCAAGCACCAGTGAAATCTAATCCGTAAAGACAAAAAACAAGTTTTCCCCATACTCCCTACAGTGTAAAGAAACTAGGCCATCATTCTGAGAAAAAGCTTTATTATACTTAGAATTTTAAGATTTTGTTTTCTCAAGGATTCACAGATAGGTTTTCTATAGTACAGATTTTCCCTGTACTTCCTGATTTCAAACCGTTATTCTTCTGCTTATTCTTGCAGTTGGAATGTCTTCCTTACTTTTGTTTCTTTTCTGAGGAGCTCTGTGGGATTAAGGAGTAGGATTCACCAAAGCAGACTCAGGCTCACCCTGTCCTTACACTGGACATGGGAATTTGATTTAGCTTCACAGTTCTCTTGCTTTTTCTCAAAAAGCAAAAGAAATTCCTTTCTTTGGAAAACAAGTGAGTAAGAACAACACTGTGGGGCCTTCTTTATATCTCAAAGACTGGTATAAAAAAAAATAGGATGCAAGCCCTGTTTTGTTCATGTTGGAGTTTGCCTTTAATTTGTAGCATTTGATCTCAAAGTTGATGCACACTCGCGCCACAGGAGCAGCAGCTGAATGGTTTCAAGGGCTGAGATTCACATTTAGGAACACAAATCTCTCTCATGGGAGCTTGCCATACACACTCCCCACATCTGAAGGAGTATTTTTACATTTTGTTTGCTGGCTTGTTCCGGAGCTGACAGATTGGGGACAGCTCAGAGTAGCAAAGTGACAGAGATATAGATGACTGGACTCCTGTGGGTCTCACAGGGATATGCCTCCCTTTAAAGAACTGTAAATGCTTCTAATCATTGCCCAACTGCATTAAGTCCACTTTAGATAAAGGTTTGATACAGATTTGAAAAATGAAATTATTTGGGGACCATAGGGAACAAAGCAAGCAATCTTCAAACATCAGAAAACCTGTGGGATTCACTTTGCAGTAATATGATAGATGGCTTGACTAGACATGCCGTTTCCTATTTTCTACTTTCATTTTTCAGACCAGATTGCACTAAACCACAAAACCATCGTGTGTCCTATGATCGATGTCATTGACCACAATCACTTTGGCTACGAGGCACAGGCGGGGGATGCCATGCGAGGAGCTTTTGACTGGGAAATGTACTACAAAAGAATACCGATTCCTCCAGAGCTCCAGAGAGCTGATCCCAGCGACCCCTTTGAGTAAGTAGCGATAAAGGGGAGAGTGGGAACATGAAGCAGAACAAGCAAAGGCAGCAACAGTAGCCAAAGAATCCAAGCCCAGAAATTTCCATGTAGGCCACTTCATACTAATGAAAGGCCATAGAAGCAAACAGCTTCTGTACACGTTTCTGAAACCTCAAAACTGGGAAAAATATCAGGGTAACAAGTTGCAGGATTCACAAGCTGTGCCTGGAAATACAAACCTTCCCCATCTTTTCTGGTCCAGTGGTTGTACGTTAAAGAAAGAGGCACATACTGGTAGTTAAGAGAAATTATTGGCATTGGATAAGGAGTGAATGTGACTACAATTACTCTGAGCACTGAACAGACTAGTTTAATGTTTCATTTGCTGGAGATTGGTGCAATGCATACGTCAACAGCTGAGTCCACATTCTGCCAGCAGATGCTTTGTTTATGACTGGTGATATTGCTCCTGTATATGTATTGCTGTAACTTAAACACAGAGCTGTCAAACCTGAACAATATCAAGCTGATTTGTAAATAGATTTTTAAAAGCCAGCCAGTATTGTTTACATAAGCTCATTCACAGGAATGATCATCTACTTTTCACAGAGTAGATCCTTTTTCTTTTCTTTAAATTATCCTCATGTAAGGATCAGCTAGGGTTAATCCACATCAGCAGAAAGGACAGACAGACAGACAGACAGGATTCAATGTGGCAAAGTCTCCAGGGCCTTCACACAGCTTGGATCCTTGCAGGGCTGGCAGCAGGACTGGCTCTGATGCTGTCATTAGCCCTGGCTGAAACTCGCTGCAGGTTTTGGCAGTTTAAAACTCAGCATTTTCCCTTCCCTGAAACAAAACCTGGAAATAATAGCAACAGAAAACCTCTGTCTCTGTCCAAGACACTGCTCTATTTTGAAGTAATGGATCCAATTCATGCAGAAATTGACCCTTATGTCCAGGGAACGACTAGATGGTTATAGGGAGAAGTAGGTAACTGTGGCATTCAGTGGGCTTATTTTCATTATTCTACTTGTTCTTTTTTACTTATATCCATATAGACTCACCAGTCTTCATCTTGCATTAGTGTAAGTTCCGATGAAGTGCTTTGCATCAGCTGCCAGTGTGACCACTCTACAACATAGATGCAGGTAGTGCAATCACCTAACACTCCAGAGCTTCTAGAGCCTCCATCGCTCTTCCACAAGTCTTCCTGGTCTTCTGAGCAGTTGTGATTTCTTGCTACTTACTGAAAGCCAGCTAGCACATCATGTAATTTGGTCCAGTGTTCAAAGGTTGTATATATGTAAAACTTCTGTACTGCCAGGGTTACTTATCTGCTGTTTCACCCATTTGCAGTTTGTAATATGCATCTTTCAAAGACAAGAAAGGCCTGAAGAGGATGCATTTGTAGGAAACTTTCTGGAACAGACAAGGCTTTGTGCAGTACAGAACAGATGTGGTGGTTTTGCATGAACTGTTGTTGCGATCAGCCTGGCAGCAGGTTACACCCATCTCACCATGCCTGCATTTCTAAGACACATAAATGGCTTCGCAAGAAGTAACATATGGGGCAGTGCAACCTGTAATCTCTTGTAATCTGAGTTCTCATTTCCCCAGAAAGGTGGGAAGGCTTCCCAGTTCTTACGCAAATCAGTAAGAGTCTTCCTTTGTGTTCCCAATCGCAGTGTCTGCATCAGAGTAATGCAGGTGGAAAACCAGCATTGCACATGGAGCCACTGTGTTCATCCCCACACATAGCAGCAGGATTGAAGGCTGGTGGAGCTAGGACAATAACTTTGCTCAGAAGTACCCTCTGCCTAGGATGCTGAGGGTATAGATGTGTTTTCAATAATAAGTATGAATTTTGCTTTGGGGAGGAATTATTTTCTAATTCAGAGTTGGCACTGCTTTTTTCCTAGGGTCTTCTCTGTTGACACCTTGAGCTTTTAATACCTTGCTTACAACAAGTACAGTAAACATTACAAACTATTTTAGATATCAGTAACTTAATTGACCAAGACAAGTTCTATAGAATTAAAGAGAACAGTTTTCCTGTGCATATACACTAAAACTAGAAATGGCTTCAGCGAGCACCATAATCATTATGTTACTTTTTGTAAGAAGTAGGTATTTATTTTTTTTATTTAGGTTAAATATTTTACTATTGGTATCCTAATAGCTTTATTTCTTGTCAGCAGCATCAATTCTGAGCTGCTGGAAAATTACCAGCATTTTTAGTAAAACACCAGTAAATAATGGGTATGTGATCCAAAAATTGTGCTGATGAAGTTGTTTCCTGACTTAAAATGCCAGCTTAGTATGTGTGTTAAGCAAAAAAGATCACATTATCCTGAGAACTAACGTACGCAAAACCAGATCAAACTATGGAAGACCTAAGAGCAGTCACTGTTATATCTGAATGATATATTGTCTGCACTTGTGAGACCCCACTTGGACTACTACATACGGTTCTGGTGTCCCCAACATAAAAAGGACATGGAGCTCTTGGTGCAAGTCCAGAGGAGGGCCACGAGGATGATGAGGGTGCTGAAGCACCTCCTGTATGGAGACAGGCTGAGAAAGTTGGGGCTGTTCAGCCTGGAGAAGAGAAGGCTGTGTGGAGACCTCATAGCAGCCTTCCAGTATCTGAAGGGGGCCTACAAGATTGCTGGGGAGGGACTCTTCATTAGGGACTGTAGCAACAGGACTAGGGGTTATGGGTTCAAACTTAAACAGGGGAAGTTCAGGTTAGATATAAGGAAGAAGTTCTTTACTGAGAGAGTGGTGAGGCACTGGAACAGGCTGCCCAAAGAAGTGGTAAATGCTCCATCCCTGGCAGTGTTCAAGGCCAGGTTGGACAGAGCCTTGAGCGACATGGTTTAGTGCAACATGTCCCTGCCCATGGCAGGCGGTTTGGAACTAGGTGATCATAAGGTCCTTTCCAACCCCAACCATTTTATGATAAATACTGCTTCAGCAGACATCAGCTATTTGCTGTTGACACAGTAAACTGAAGTGTTGTCACTTCAGTTCTCTATAGGCTTTTGGTGTGACAGTAGCATGGAGCTCACTGAGCTGCAATGCCAGCTGAGGCAGTGTTTCTGGACTTAATTTTTCCCCAGTTTTTTTTTATATATATTTTTTTTTTTAACTTTACTCTTCTTTGGTCAGTGTTTGACTGGTGCTCTCCTATTGGATGCTATCTATCTGGACACAGTCTTCCAGTTTGAAAAGCTTCATGTGAAGAATCTAGACATTCTCACCTAATTGTGATGTGAGTGGGCATCGTTTGTTGTTCGTACACTTGCAGTGCCACTCAGGCATCATCTCCACCCTTTGCTGTGATAGAATTCGGAGTCTCATTTCAGATCTCAGCTTTTCCTGATGTACACCCACACCCATCCTCAGGCAATCTACAGTTGTTCACAAGTAGGTTTACACCATGATTTGGCTTGATATTTAAGACTCTAGGAGTGTACAACACTCTCAGAACCTTCCAGGCTGCCCAGTGACAAATTCCAGTACAGATGCACCAGCCTGGGATACAGGTGACAAATTTATAACAGGAATTGGAGTAGGCTGCATTCATCCCCAAAATTTATCAGTTTGGTTCACATGTAGCATGTTACCAGCCCCACCAAGTTTTCCATAGGTTTTGATTAAACCAAACTATAAAATTTATTTTTAATTGAAGCTCCTATGTGAATTACTAGGTATTTCTCTGTGCTCATTGTAGTGTATAAGAAAGTTTAGCAACTATTACATAAATGAATATCAAGTAGCCTTTAAGATTATCTATTTTTCTGAAAGATCTGTGTTGCTGTTTTTTCAGGATACATTGAATCCTCAGAAGCATGGAAATTGGACTTCACCCCTATAAAATCTTGCCTTCCCATCCAGAGGCTAGATCTTTGAACTCCTTGTCGATTTCTCTTTTTCATGTGCCACAGAAACAGCAGAAGTTTTATACTGCATTCAACTGACATGCCACTTTTGCAGCTCATGACAGTTGGCTGTAATGCTTTTTCTTTTGTGATTCATGTACAACTACCCCAGTATATTCTGAAGGGGCTTCATGCATTCAGGGTTGTGTAAAAGACACAGAGCAAATTAGTGTTCTGATGTATTGTGGGAAATTGTCAGACAATTATCACCATGTCATGATGATGCTCATTGTCTAGATCCAGGGTCAATGATTATTCAGCAGAATTTCAGGTGACTTGGGAAATTATCTTCTAGTCTATAAGCAAGGAGGACCAGAGATGTTTACCTCCTTTGTGGCAGATATGACCTTAGCTTATTGTCCCTCACTGGTTTGTTTCTTTATCACAACAGAGATTTGAAAGCATGCCCTTGTGGGACATGTGGATTTAGGATATAAGAGCATGCTCTCGTGTGGCTGTTTCTTTCTGTGGCTTACTCACTCTAGTCTCTGGAGGAGTTTGCCTAACCCGAGCGATTGCCACTTAAACTAATAGGGTAACCTTGTTACTATAATGGACTGTGATATACAGCATGTCAGTTTATAAGATTTAATAGCCTGTCTGGGTTAAAATCTCTGTGGAAGTTTAAAGCAGAAGTTTGATATGCTCAGGCCTGCTGGGGATGACTGCCCTTTACTTCCTGGCAGCATTTAGATTACATCAATTCATGTTATCACATGCCTGATCTGAAAATGGGCATCAGTGTCCATTCATGCCAGCAGCAGCATATCTTTAACCAGTCAAGAAAACATCAACAATTCAACTCAAAAACCTATTTGTGAAAAAAAACCAAACCATAAACTAATGGAGAGGATTAACGTAGCACCAATCAATTAGGGTAGGAAAGGGCTGCACAGCTCCTTGGAGCAGTTTTCTGATGGTTTAACTTTATCATTCGGGAGAGAGGGAAAGGTGCAGCCGAGACCTGACAGCATTGCTATTGAATTGCAACTCAAGATGGAAATCCTAACTGATGAGCAACGTGTTGCACTACTTACTGGATGCCAAGATTTCTAGTACCTATTTGGG